TCATGGACTGGTGCCCATAATCCAATGATTCGCTGGCTCACTCTTTCATTCCACACACATTTACTATCGTCTAACATATAGGCTGGTGTGTGTGGAGTTAAGGGACAACCAGTGTCCCTCTCTCCTGGCCACCTGAGTTCTGGACCAGTGGAAAGAGATGCAGTCAGGCAGGGAGGCACTGAAATGTTGGCTTTCCTCCTGATAAGATTGGTTCTGGAGGATGCGACCCGTCTCCGGGTGATAATGGGCTTTCTGATATTGAACCCCCGGATGGGGCAGATGACCCCAGTCAGTCACAAGGATGGCTAAAAAACTGTCACCCTGGCCTTTATGCTAGGGCTGCCCATGAGCAGGTTCTCCGCTAAGACAGCTCCCAAAATGGGGGTGCAGGGGGGAGGCTGAGCAGTAAGCCAGCTTCTTCCTCCAAACTCACCAGTCGGTTCATCACCCTCCAGCCCACGGACGACGTGAGAAATGTCAATTCAAGGCAAGGGTATGACTTGCCATCCTTCCCCAGGGAAACTATGCCAACAAATAGTAACAGCAGGAAAAAAAAAAAGACACACACACACACACACACACACACACACACACACAACTCCACTTACTAAAGACCTGCATGCATGCAGGAGACTTTATTAAAGATTTTGATGTCATGCAAATGGGCTTATATCCCAATTATTTGTTATAATTATAACAAATTATAATTTGTTGTTAAAAATCTTTTTCTTAATAGACTACCACTTAGTTCCACTGTCCCGTTTCCCCTCCCCCACCCTACCCCTGCCTTCTGTCCCCTCCCTCTCTTCTCTGTTTTTTACCTCCCAGGAGCACACCCCCCCCCTTCTCCCATTTTATTACGTAGAAAATTAGAGGTTCTTATCAACCTCTACCCCACAGTTTCTGTTGAGATATTTCTTTGCATATTTCTTCTGTCTCCAGAGGACGTACCTCTCTTTCTGCAATACAGAAGAAGCTAACTTAAGAGAACATAAATAATTCTTCCTGAAAACTCTAGATTGCCTTATTACCCCCATTCTTCCTGCCACAGAATAAAAACCTAAAAAAATAATTCTCAATTACGCCTACATTTGATAGGTGTGGAATTTCCCCCAAAATGTCTTTTCCTAACATAATTATTCTAAGCATTAACACCAGTGAAGTTTAACGTTGAAAGACACAACACTACAACCTCTCCTCTCCAAAGTTAATGCTCACACATTAAGCTTTGCAATACAGGCATAAGTTAGTCTCAGTCCGAATTATCGATTGCCATTCTCCCTCCTCTTCTTAAATTAAGAGAAAATGAGGACAAGCTAAGAAATAAGAGAACTTGCCAATGACTCTTTCTCCTTAAATAAAGGGATCCTTTCTAGTAATCAACTTTCAAGAATTATGGCTTCTTTTCCAATGATTAATCATACATATGACAGATGTGGGAAGAAATGTAAATTTAAGGAAAAGTACATTTTGATAGGATTCTAAAAATCTATTTCGAGCGTGCAATCAATAGTACAATTCTCCTAGATGGTCATCTGTAATCCTAAATATCAGGATAATAAGATGTGGAATTCAGGAAATGCTTTAGAAATCATCCTGGTGCTCCCTCCTTGTTAATACCTAGTTCAAATGGCTCACCCAAGGCCACTCAGGGAGTGAGAGGCAGAGCAGGGAGAGCCCCCTGGTCTCCTCTGCTCCCCACCCTCTGCCTTCCCTTCTCCATCCCTGTTGTCAGGTTCTACTTTGAAAATCACCAGAACATCCAAGCAGGGATTGGGGTTTTCCTCTTCCCTCATGGTCTATGATAATGAAATTCTAATCAGTATAATAAAAAGACACTTAGGAATAAAACCCTACAAAGTATCTGGAGCAGATGAACTTGGAAACTTGACTACATTCCTCCCAACTATCCAAGAAGCTTGGCCCTGTCTCTGGAGATAGCCATCCCTACCCTGCTGATGTGAGAAGCAGCTCTGTGCTAAGACTTCCTGCCTCCTCCCAGCAGGACCACCAGCCCACCCCTCTCAAAGCATTACCCTCTTCACACGAGCTCTAGGCAGGCACAGTTTACACTTCTTTAGTCAAGGGTACACACTAGCCTCAAAGCAGCGCCTGGGTGGGACCCTTGTGCTGGAGATAATGTGCTTACTTCATTCCTTATTGGACCATGAAGAATAAAAGCACGACACAGCATGCATGACACAAGCTCCCCTTGTTGTTTTAATCAATGTCCAATTTTAATGCCCTTAAAATAAATTTTAACTTACTCTTTTTTAGAAAAAAAGATTTTTTAAAATTTATTTGAGAGAGTTGGGGGAGAGGCAGAAGGAGAAAGACAAGCAGACTCTGTGCTGAGTGTGGAGCCTGACGTTGGACTCGATCCCACGATCCCAAGATCATGACCTGAACTGAAATCAAGAGTGGCAGGCTCAACCAACAGAGCCACCCAGGTGCCCCAAATTTTGACTTATTCTATGAGCTCATTGGTATATTTGCTCTCAGAGATACAACATGTAGGGAGCAGAAGTGAGACCCAATGACTACATTCCGTGTATATCCCATCACTAGTCTACGTTACCCAAATGCCATCAGATGCATCCCATTCAACTTTGGAATCAGGGTCAAGAGTTCTTCTTTTCATATTAGAAGAAGGGAAATAAAAGCAGAGTGAGGAGGGGGCGTTTTGCCTGAGGTGACTCCCACAGAGTGGGAGCTTGAAAGCCTGTGTTGGAAACCCGGATTTCTGTTCCCAATCCAGTCCCCTTGAATGAAGGGACTTCTCATCCCCACCTGGTGTCCCCAGACATTGGCTCTGCTGTTACCATGACTTGGGGAGGAGGGGGAAGGGGATGAAGGAGGATGTCACAGACAGTTGTCAGAAAGATAAAGAGTTATACTTGGGGAACAAACACCTTGACTTTGCTGAGGCATAAACTTCACAGCGGGAAACCATTATTGCAGTGACAAAGCTTTGTTCAGTTGACATTATCTCTTAATTATCTGCATAAGAATGCATTTGTCAAGTTTCATGAGATGGGATTGATAACAATAAACTTGCATTTCTGCACAATATTTTAATTCCACAGGCAGAAGCAGCACAACACACAAGGAAAGAACTGGAGGCGGCTGTCTGGGCTGCTGCTGGCTCTGCGAACATTGCAAACCCATCACAACAAAGCCTTGTGACCTGCCCTGCCAAACCAGGCTGCCAGGCTCTGTTGGAGTTCTGGGGCCACAAGGCTAAGGCCAGCTTCCTGAAACGTCTTGGCCCAAATGGTCCACATTTTGGTAAGACACCATTCATGACTGTATCCACAGAACCGGTCTAGCTCCCAGGGGTACCAGTGGTACCACGTGATTCCTGGCGGTAATCATGGAATATTTCACTCTTCACCCCCTCCTGGTATAGTTAGCCGGGCAGCAAAATCCCAGCTCCTTCCACCCCAGCCTCCCCCGCCTCCAAAATGGCTCCTCCCTAAATAGCCACAGGGATTTTTCTCTTCCTGTCACTGAGGTGCCTTCCCTGAGGTATATTTGGTAGGGCAAGATCCAGCTGTGGTGAGAAACAGGGAAGACCTTCTGGTCGGATGACCTGAACTGACAGTATTTTAATTCTTTAAGTCACTGACAATAATTTGTCAGGTAAATATAGCTCCTTCTATAACTCCCTGAGATATATTTGATTCTTTCACTGTCAGGGAGTTTAAAAGACACTCCCTCAAGGGAGGGGCTGGACCCACGTCATGTTGCAGGATCTCCACCCAAAGGACCGTGAGACTCAGTGGCACACTGTACTCCAGTAATCTGCTTGGATATTCCAGAGTTTCCAGGTTGGGTGTGCGGGTCAGTGTCCCAACATGATCCTCATTACAGGGAGCCAAGGACAGAACCTTCAAGCATGCTAGCATTGAAAGGAGGTGGCGGGTAGGAATCTACAAAAGACACTGGGAAAGAAAATCAAGCAGCACGTGCATGTCTGCCCACATCTGCCCCTCCGTGCCGGGGTCAGAGAGAACATCTGGGGGACCTGGAGGCTGACTGTGACACACTGGCAGGGTGTTGCCACCTCCCTGCATCCACACCCTTGAGTGGTTCCCTACCACACTGACTCAAGGCTTACCCATGGGACTGGCATTGGCCAAAGGGACAATAACTAACACGAGACCTGCTGAGACTTGAAACGTGCTTGCACTTGAAGCCCTGTGACTGCCACTGGGAAAGATGCCCCGGCTCGCCTGCTGGCTGATGAGAGGCACACAGCCCCTTCCCGCAACTGACAGCCTGCTGACCCCCAGACACGTCAATGAGCCCATCCTCGATCCTTCAACCATAGCCAACCTACCTGCACTGACGGCACCTGCTTGAGTGAGCTCAGCGGGGATTGGCCTAACAGCCCCGACCAAAAGAACCACATGGAGTGGTTTGTTTTGCATCCACAGATAATCACCAATACACTGACAAGACGAATTTGGATTAGAGATCCCAAGTGTGATCCCTGGTGAATGTTATGTATCAGCTTGACTGGGCCACGGGGTGCCCAGATGTTTGGTCAGACATTGTTCTGGGTGGGTCTGGATGAGATTAATATTCAGATCGGTAGACAGAGTAAAGCAGATTGCCCTCCCCCATGTGGGTGGGCCTCATCCAATCAATTGAAGACCTGAATAGAACAAAAAGGCTGAGTAAGAGGGGACTTTTCTTGCCCGACTGCTGAGCTGGGACACTGGCCTTTTCCTGCCCCTCAGACTCAAGCTTTCCTGGGTTTTGGTCCCCCAGACTTGGACTGGAATTTATACCACTGGCTTTCCTGGGTCTCCAGTTTGCTGACTGCAGATGTCAGGACTTCTCAGCTTCCATAATCATGTGATCCAATACCTCATAATCTCTCAATGGATAGATGGATAGACAGAAGAGAAATATAAATATTATATTTATTATTATGTTATAATATTTATTTGTGTGTGTGTATAGACATATATATTATCATCTTACTGGTTCTGTTTCTCTAGAGAATCCTGACGGATGCCCCCCATTTCCTGATAACTGGTGCTCTCTGCTCGGGGCCGCTCCTGCGGCTCTCCCTGGCGTACACACACTTCTTCCCATTCCCCAGAGATGGCTGAAGACAGTCTGCAGGTGGGACTTGAGCCTTCCAGACTCCTTTGTTCTAATTGCAATCAGCAGTGACTTCCCACTCGCCGGTGCCCCCCATTAGCTCTGCTCCTTGTCCTCTGCGGTGGGAGTGCAGCCGTCACCCTGGAAAGGCAGTCCCTCAGCTGCGGAGGGAAGAAGGACGCAGGAAGGAAGGTTAGGGCTGATTTATGTGACACAGGGGCCATTCTTTCTCCTCTCGTTCTTCCCCCACAGAACTGAATCCAAAATAAATGAACAGACTTACCCATTCCTGAGTTTTAATGGAACTAATTATCTGATTGCAGAGTCCCAACTTCTGTGACTGCTTCCATTCTAGCTAGCGTTAGATTGCATTACTATTTTCATTTGTTTTCATTATTATTAGCTTTTAGCAATGAAATGGAGTTAAAATTATTACAGTTTGTAACATGCTTTTTGTACTAATAATTCAAGTACTTTTGAGTAGGAGCTGAGAGCATTAATTTGTCAATCATTCCTGCTTTGTATCTAGTCCTACTTTAAATAGACTAAACAAAAGAAATGAACACTATATATTTCCCCAAGGGATAGAACTTGTAAACATTCAGATATGTTAGGCTTTCATGAAATTATAAACTGTAATTCCAAGGTATATTGCACAAATAATAGGGTATTTCAAAATCAGTGCAGCTGACACACAAAAGCTTCAACTCTGGTTCACATAATAACACAGGGCAGCCATCTGTGCTGAGTCTACTAACCTAGTCAGGAACCAAGGTGAAGGTGAATAAATGCAAACATTTTTGGAGGTTGAGCAGAAGGTCCTCAAGAAGCTCTGAGTCAGGGACCTACGCCTTATGGAAAACGAGAGCCTTTTCCAGCTTCTACGCCCACTCAATTGGAAGTAGCATTTCAACAACAACAAAATGGGGATAGCCTGCACTACCACTAAGAAATGCCACATTAATTCTTCCAGGAATGTTTACAACAAAGAGAAAAGGAAGGAAAATCCAGAGCTAGAAATAAATGCGGTGTTGTAACCGTGTAAATGAGAAACAACCTCTCTATTAAACGTGATGGAAAAGATCAGTGTGTGTTCATGGCATGCCTAGATAACAGGATGGCTTTTAAATAAAGAAATGACTGTCTTATTACCTTAAAATACATGTAGCACTCAAATGGATCAGGGCAATATGAGTTCTCTGGACCTAATTTAAGGAATGAATAGGAATGATCTGTAATTATCAAATCAACTGTTTCCTGCAACTATGTCCTTGGGTAGTCTTGAAAACAGCTTAGTCTCTTAACTAGGTTGAGTACTCGATGAAAACCTTGTGTATGTTTCTTGCCTAAAACTTACCCCCCCCCCAAAGCAAAGGAAATCTATAACTCTGCTCCATCGTCCATGGTCACAGGTTCTGGATTGGAAGGATCCCCACAGATCAGGGGGCATTGGGTGGGCTTGTTCTGGTCCCAGGACTGTCTGGGAAGAGAGGCGACACAAGCAGGACAGTGGAAAGGCCCATTTCTGCAGGTTTGACTCCTAATTGTTTTGTTTTTTTAAGTAATCTCTGTGCCCAACATGGGGCTCGAACTCAGGACCCCGAGATCAAAAGTCACACACTCCACCCACTGAGGCTGCCAGGTACCCCACTTCTAATTGTTTTTAGCCCAATTTTTTATTCCGCCTGAGAAAAGCCAGAATGTCAAGCTTGGCCCCTAAAATTAAACACTTCCAAGAAAACACAGGAGTTGGTATGTTACGGGGTTTCACTTCCACTGCTTAAGACTGTGATTTGGATAATCTCATAGTTCTGACAAGAATATATTTTGTCATTAGTAAGAGGCTGCGCAGCACCTGTTCACTAAACCAGGGCGGTTTTTCAAGTCTGGATTTTCTTTGGCGGAAGAGTCCTTGGAAATTGACCAATTGGTTAATCCTGTTGACTCTCCAGGCCCCCCACCCCACGCGCCCTCCCCCTCACCTCACAGGCTGCTCAAAAAATAGCTTTTGACTGTGGCCTTTAACAATATGATAATTTATTTAAAACAGATACAGTCCTGAAAGTGACCCACTTAAAATTATTAAAGAGATACTGTGTTTATTTTTGCTGTCCATAAAACAGAAAATGGTTTATGAATATGCAAACCGATCTGATGTAATTAGCATGATTGGCTCCTACTGCACTCCGTTTTATGTGGTTAGAAGAGTAGATGCAGAAACTAATGAGGTCATGTTAATGTGCCTGTGAAGAGCGCTTCAGCTGTCAGAACAACGAAGGCGAATGTCTGGTAGAATCTTTTCTTTTCCACAAAAAACAAAAAAACACTGAAAGTGGGCACGCGTGGGGTGGGCTTCTGCCCGTGGGCTGGGGCACCACCAGGCCCCGGGAGCCACTTTGCCTCATGCATACGAGGAGTCGGGATGAGAAATAAAATTCCATGTCCATTCAGAGCGATGATTAATGTGGTATTTAATTATCTAGAAAGTCTTCAACAAGTGCTAATAACTGAAACTCCTCCGGCAGGTGACACAGGCCACACGGTCCCATTAGACATGCTAACACCCTATCCCCTGGCCCTTCTTAATTAAAATAAGAGGCAAAAATGTTAATTGTGCACCGACTACCTCTTGGGATTAATCTGGTCTGATCGTCGGGCCCTGCTAACCCAGGAAAGCAGGTTTCTCATTCAGGCATGAGGCTTGAACAAAAGGCTCCTCCTGGAACATTGCCACCCACCTGGTAAATTCAGGGTCCCCGCTGGGGGAGGGGAAGGGCAAAGGAGGCAGGCACCCAATGGGCAGGGAGGTTTTTTAATCAGAATGCTGCAAGGCATGTCTCAGGACGCTTCTTAGATATCGAACAGTACTCACAGACTGCCACTGAGTTTTCCTTCTACATCTCTTCTAAAGCATAAACATAGGAACTTGAAAACCTTATTTTCAATTTCTGCCAGCTTCTCTCTACCTCTGAAAATACACCTCGCTTCTTTGTACCCCCTGCCTCCAACACACACACACACACACACACACACACACACACACACACACACACTTTGCGACAGAAACAGAGAACATCTTGAAAGCTCCATTGTTAAAGGGGGGGGGGGGGAGGGCCAGTGGAAAGTGAAAAATGAGGTTTTAGTGTTAATCAAAGACTCAGCCGAGTTCCCTGGAAAGGGATCTCCCTGGAAAGGTATTGCATTGGTTCATACTAAAGACATTTAGACTAAAAGAAAAGGAAATCGGAGTTCTTTGGTGGCAACCATGACTTCTGCCTTTGGAAAAGCAGCTGGTCCCTTTCTGATGTTCTCTCCAGGACAGGGTCTCAAAGCATGCCTACTGTGTGCCGGGCACATGTCTATCTTTTTCATGAGACTGTGTGCTCTTTGAGAGAAAGGACAAGAATGTATGTCTCTAGCACTTAGCTAGTGCTAGGTACATAGAAGGTACTCCATAAATGTCTGTTGAATGTATACATAAGTGGATGGATAAAGGAATAAGTAAATTTTTAAGAAATGTGTGGGTCCTTTCCTTTGGGATTTTCACAGCTTTGTGGAGTATACCTAGGAGATCGTTTCTTTCCTTGGCACACAGAGAGCACTACCCATAGACAGGCTGAAGTGCCCATGCAGGAGAGCAGAGGTGTGACTGCAGAAGAGGCAAAAGGTCCATCCAAACCAAAATCTCTCGCCCACAGAACTGTCCGATGTCTCAGTTTTCATCCTGATTTCATGGCACCATGTACCTCTCTCTCTCTCATAAATCTGGATCATAGTTGTAATTTTGCATCTAGTGAGGTGATTCTTGGGTTAACAGCTAGGGGTCACCTCCCCACCAGACTGGAAGACTCATGAGGGCAGGTTTCGTTGTCTTTTGTTCCTGAATCACCCAGGCACATCCACACCCAGCCCAGTGCCTGCCACAGAGTACGTGCTCCATAAAGAGCCGGACCTCAGTCTTTCCATCTGTACCATGGGGGCCTTTCTACCCCCGCCCTTCTGTGATGCTGCGACAGGCCCACTCTTAGAGTCACTCCCGGGAGGGTAGCTGTTAAGTCTCCAGAAGGCCCAGGTTAGAATTCAAATCTCTTACCCAAGCGAGAGGACGCCATACACAAGGACAAATGGCGCGGCAGAATGGCCAACGACAATGAAGTGGGGCCTTGACAAAAGGCAAAGAGGTGGGTGTGGTGGTGGAGGCGGCAAATACACGGGTGAGTCAGGGAGGAACTTGGGGAGGGACCAGGCCAAGGTGTGCAAGTCAGGGCCCAGAAAGCCAGAGAACAATACCGTGGCCCAACAAGGAGAGGAAAGCAGCACGGGAAGCAGGGCACTGCCTGAGTTTGCTACAGAGCTGCCAGCACGGTGTACCACAAACCTGGGGCGTAACACAACGGAAATATATTGTCTCTCAGTTCTGGAGGCCAGGAGTCTGAAATCAAGGTGTTGATGGGACTGTGCGTGAGAAGAGGAGCCTTCCTTGCCTCCACCAGTTTCTGGAGGACCAGTGGTTCCTGGGTTTTGGCAGCGTCGTTCCGACCTCTGCCTCTGTCCTCACACGGCCGGCCGGTTTTCCTCTGTGTCTTCACACAATCTTCCCTCTGTTATCTCTGTTCCTTGTCCCCTTTTTATAAGGACACCAGTCCTATTGAGGTAGGGCCCACCCTACTCCACTATGACCTCAGCTTAACTCAATTAACTCTGCAAAACCTTTTTTCCAAATAAGGTCCCATCACAAGTAGCAGTACCAGGGCTTAGTATGTGAACATATCTCTTTGCGGGGGGGACAGGCACCCTTCCACCTTTACCGGGCATCAAATGCACAGTCTTAGTGCAGCAAACCTTTGACCACCACTCTGTGCCGAGCTCTGCACATCTCTATGGAGGAAAAAAGTGCATCAGACTTCAATGCCAAGTACAGGAAGGAGACGTCCTCGGGGGCACATGATGCTGTGAGGGTTCAAAGAAGGCAAGACTATGGTCAATCGGAGGAACCTGGAAAAACTTTACAGAGATAGTTGGGTTGAAGTTAATTGTTGAAGGATGGGTCAGCACTCCATAGGTGGGTATGGGGGAGGCAGACATGGTGGAGGAAAAGGGAAGAACATAGGCAAACCACAGAGTACAGAATGTGGGCTCTGCCCTCTGACAATTTAAGGTG